AAAAGTTTTTCAGTATAAATGAAGGGCTGCTGTACGGGCTGTTCAATATAGCCCGTACAGCTCCTGAAGTCACCCGAGCGGCTCAGTCGACCCGAAGGCATATGCTTCGGCTCGACAGAGCCAAGGTGAAAGCCAAAGCTGGCGGAGCGGTCGGCCATTGGCCGGCTGACAGCCTGCTTCTGACAGCTGGGCGGGATCAAGCCGTGATCTTGTATTAATTGTGCTTACACCTCCTTTAAGTTCATGCATTGAATGAATACTTTTGCCTTCCCTCCTATTGCTTTGCTGAACCTCAGAAGCTATTGTATTGAGCATCACCTCCTGAAATGATAAAAACACACACACATATACAAAAGTGGAAGCCAAATGGAAAACGTATTGTTAGGTAATATATTGTATGTGGGCACATTTCATTTTTGCTACCATATGGTCTCCTCTAGAGGACAATGTCTACACTTTTTAGTGTTGGCTTTGTAAATCAAGTACTGAATGATGTTTTAAAATAAAAATACCACATTGTAAAAGTGTACATGCGGTAACTTCAAAACGATAATCACATGAAAGGCCATTTACACTGTGTATGAGCACAAATAAAGGATGTTCTGATGGTATTCACATGAAATAAATGAGAGCACCTTGTGTCTAGCACAACATGAAAAATTTACATTTGTATTGAAAGTTTTAGGAGACCTTAAAGTGGTATAAATCTCTTAAGCTTTTTTTTCTTGTCACCTTCAATAACGCAATAACAATAGGAAGAGCAGCAAAGAGAAGGGAAACAACCATGGATTACAGTAAGGCACACATTACAGTATTGGTTTATGTTAAAAAATCTTAAAGGGTTTAATGTCACTTTAAGATTGCAAAAATATAAAATGAGATTGCAAAAGAGAACATTAAACCTCTAAACATTCTTTAAATATATTAACAGTAAAATTATAAGGTCTAAACATGTAGGCTGTTACAAGATAATTTGATAGTGGCCAAAGAGAAGCAAAAGTTTTTCAGTATAAATGAAGGGCTGCTGTACGGGCTGTTCAATATAGCCCGTACAGCTCCTGAAGTCACCCGAGCGGCTCAGTCGACCCGAAGGCATATGCTTCGGCTCGACAGAGCCAAGGTGAAAGCCAAAGCTGGCGGAGCGGTCGGCCGATGGCCGGCTGACAGCCTGCTTCTGACAGCTGG